GCTCTAATAAAATCCTGGTTTAGCTCTGGTTTGTTTTGATGGTGTCGCATTGCGTCTGGAGAGATTAAGTGTTGAGTTGGCGGCTTCACATGAGCCTCGGGCCTCAGAAACCTTCTATAAAAGAGGGGCATTCAACTTTCAAGCCTGAGATATTAAAGAAAAACTTGAATTCAGGCCTAATCTGACCACAGATCCAAAATAAAGACAGGTTTGTCGCTCATTTCTCACCTCAAACGTAAGAACTCGGCTCTATTTTTTTGTAAAACGGGAAAAACTTTCCAAACAAGCTTCCACTCTGAACGGGTTTGAAATCTGAGAGCAGGCCGACTCAAAGCCGAAGCTCCTTCTTCCGGTCAGGTACAGCCTGAGTTTCTCTCCTCTTTCTGGGAAGGAGAGCGCACGTCACTCATCTTTAATGGCGCTCCCCTGTGGCGCGCCCATCAAATGCCCACTGACGGGAAACATCACCACCCATCACAGCCAACTGGATGCCAAGTGTCCCTTGTGGACTCGGATCACAAGATATTAAATGTGATATGTATGTGTGGAAAGTAAAGACTGGGTAAAAAAAAGAAAAAGAAGAGGACAGCTGTGGCCACTGGCTGGATCATGTGATGAAGATGACAGTCAAGGAAAAGAGAACGAGACTTATGACCGGATTTGGTCCGGGTGACTATTTTGGAGGCAAATTCTGGGGTTTGTCAGCTAAATAAGCAGTAGCAACAATCACGTACACTAATTATCCCTAATTAATGAGCCAGGGTGGTGTCTTCTAAAGACTTCTTCCAGCTTGTTCTTGGTCTTAATTAGGCCAAAGTCCAAAGGTTTGACTTTACATGCCCAAATATGTTAATGATGACAATAAAGCCACTAGGTTATATTTGACAATTAGCAACAAAGTGTGGGCCTTTGGGCTAAACTGTGTATCAGATGATAAATTTAAATGGTGTTGAAGTAGTTGAAATTAACGATTTTCATTCTATGTAAAATAATACAACCGTTTTTAAAATAGCTTTAGGTGTATTTGTATGCATATTAAAGACGTTTAAACTTTTGAAAATGTTTTCTTGGAGCAGAAGTGTACAACTGCTACTCAGTATAGCAATTTAAGGCTTCCTTTACTGCTG